AAGTTTTAAATCCATTCTTGACCTTGGCTCCAGCCCTCTTCCCATTATGGCATACGGGCTCCCTAAAGATTTTAGATATCACCTAGTCTAATCTCTCCATTTTACAGGTGAAGAAACTGAGGCAAAGAGAAGCACTCGCTCACGTCAGCAGACGTGGGACAAGAGACTAATTCTCTTTTTACTCATGATATTTGGGTGGTCCTAAATAAGAGAATAGCCAGTTTTCTCCTAGAATCAGAGCTGTAGGCTCTTCCAGGTGTTCTCATAACAATAAACCAACTTGTACGTTGCCTTTATATTCATGGAAGAGACATTTCCATTGGTAGTAGTGTGAACTGCTTCTCTCTCTCTTTCTACTCCTGACCGTCCGTGATGGGCGAGGTAAAGAAATCAGAGGAAGACTGGAGGAGGAAGAAAGATGGAATGCAGAGCAGCAGCTGGGTCAGAAAAAAGGCCTATTTATTTTATGTTCTAAACTTTAAAAAGTCACTGCAGAATTAGTCTGTTGTCTTCAAAACACATAAAACAAAGTACAACAAAGCGGTATTGAGTTATTTTTCTCCTCCACCATCTCTTTGGGTTGGGGGTGGAGTTGAGGGAAGGGTTTATTTGGAAATACCACTCTCAACAGTGAATGAGGGGGTGCACTGTGTGTAGAGTCTTGGGCCCCAGATCCGCAAAATGAAGAAATGTCTTATTTTCATGATTTTTTAAAAAAATTGTGAGATTAGAATTAGAATTTACAAGGACATAAGTCAAAAACAGAGTTTGTGTCTGCATGGCCAAAGATCTAGGAAGAACTTTGATAAGGCTCTTGTATCTGGAAGAAGGCACTATGGATTAGTTCGTGTTGCTGTTGTCTCAGTGTTGACAACTGTAGAAAGTTATCAATGGGATACTTCTTCCCTGCATCACCTCGTCTTCAAATAGATGTGTTATTTTTTAAAGATATAAGTTAAAAGATCAGAACTGCATTATACCAATGATTAGCACAAGCTCTTGCTCCCAGGAAACCATGGATTGAGGAAGTCAAGGGATAGGTAACTCTTCTATAAGAATTCAATATTGTGACTAGAGTAGTGCAGGTTGGCTTAAAGGGCATACTTAACCTTCCTTTCTCTTCCTCACACACGCATGAAATTCTGTCTCACTCCAAAAGTCACATGACCAATTGGAACTTGAAAGTTGACTTTCTAACTTTTCTAGTTATATGACTATGAAGAAGACATTTCACTTCTCACTTTCCTCATCTGTAAAATGGGGATAATAATGCCTATACCCTCCACTTAGCTGAGTCGTGGTTAAAGCATTTTGTAAACTTTAAAACCTTAAGTATGACTTGCTATTTATAATTTTAAAATACATCATTTACTAAGGAAGTTAAAACAAATTTCATAAGATGATAATAAGGTTGTATCACTATTATTAGAGGGAACATTCAAATTGATTAAGTCACAGATCCATTTTAGTATGAATTTAATGGATGGGAACACAGGATCAGGAATTTTTTTTTTAGTTAGTGATTCTAAAAAAAAAATATACATCTATCTGGCATTCCCTCAACAACTTTCGTTTTCATTCTGCCCTTATAAGAACTCCCCTACTAACGTGGTACAGTTCTGAGAGAGAAAATGTGAACTATGCCACACTTTCTTTATTTGAGAAATGGAACCGTCTTTGGTTTTTCCTAAGATGATAAAGCGTTGAGTCATAAAATCATAGATTTAGAGTTGGAAGGGACCTTAGAGGTCATTTAGTTCAACCCCCTCATTTTATAGTTGAGGATACTGAAGCTTCCAGACATTCAGTGACTTGCCTAGGTCACACAACTAATAAATCAGGGATAAGATTTGAACCTAGGTCCTCTGACTTCACAGCTGGCTTGTGTAAACTGATTTGTATAAAACACTAGATATTTCCCCAACACAGGATAATATTAAGATAGAATTGCCTAACCCTTCTTCATTTTATGGTTTATTAAAAAGATGTGATCATTATTGAAATGATGAGCTCACTGGGGAAAATACTGAAGAATTTAACTCCTTTATTATTGAAAAATGTCCATGATAAAGCTACCTATAGGAGCACAAACTTCCCATTCCCTGAGGGGGTTCTGAGTGTCTTCTTAGAAGCCATCTTTCTCAAAGTCATGTCCATTTCAGTTCATTTATAAAACTCTGAGGTGCAGGTTTCCATTTTCAAAAACTTTTAAGGAAGAAACTGATTTGATTACAACCTTGGACTTATGTCTCAGCTGGAGGTGAAGTTTAAAAAAAATTGGGCAGAGAGGATAGGGAACAAAGGAATTCATTTTGGGGATTTTTTTTAAGACCTGTTTTTTTAGGAAACAATAGAGCCAGAGTCTGAACTTGTGTTAATAATCTAGTCAGTAATTGGAATTTTTATTGTGCTTACATCAGATCTTTCCAAGGAGACCATATGAAGCCAAAGGTTTTAAACTATTCAATATTTTGACTGTGGCTAAGTACTATTGTGAAGAGAATGTGAAGAATTCTTCCCTTCCATTGACACCAATCCCCATGATCTATACTTGATTTCATATCCAGGGGGAAAATTTAAAGAAAATTGAAGGCAAAGTTGGTTTAACTGTGTGAATCATCAGGGTAAGAGAGGGAAGTTGAAATGTTCTATTTTTTTTTTGTTTCTTTTCAATGTGTGGGCTCTGAATCTCCCAGGTACCAAAGAGCTGACCTGGAGTTGAAATTTTCTTTGTTAGGATCATCAGATTATAGAATTTTGAAGCTAGAAAGAGAGCTTAGAAATAATAGAGCCCAATGCAACCTTTCTAAAAATGAGAAAACTAAGCCCTCAGAAACTTGTGCAGCAGGTTGGTGGAAAACAGAGAAAAGGATGCTGAGAATCACAAAATTTTAGACCATCTGGGATCACTAACTTACCTATTGGTATTCTAAATACAAGACCCTTGTCCAATGACTAACGATTAGATGTATTCCTTTGTTGTTGTTCACTCTTGTCTGACTCTTTGTGACCCTATTTGGGGTTTTCTTGTCAAAGATACTGGAGTCATTTGCCATTTCTTTCTCCAGCTCATTTCACAGATGAATAAACTGAGGAAAACAGGGTGAAGGGATTTGCCTAGGGTCACACAGTTAGTAAGTATCTGAGGTCAGATTTGAACTCAGGAAGATGAGTCTTCCTGATTTAAGGTCTAGCACTCTATCCACTGTGCCACCTAGTTGTCCTAGATATATTACTAGAGGAACAGAATAGTGACATTTCCTCCATGCATTGGTATAGGCAGCTGTTAATGAGGAAACTCCCTCTACCAATAAAAGTTGTACCTGATTTACAGTATGATAGTCTTAGAAAGTTGCCTAGAAAACTAAGAGGTTAAAAAACTGACCCAGTGCCACATAGCCACCAGTATGTGTCAATGGTACAACTTCACCCAGGTCTTCTTGATGCTGAGGCCAGCTCTCTAAGCAGAAAACAAGAAGAAAGTGAAGCTCATTGGAAGGATGGTTCATGAGTTCTTCTTTTTGTTCTCTTCTCCCTTAGAAGGATGCTCTTGGTTTTCATTTGGACTAAATTTCACTTTATAAAAATGCGGGGAAGGAAGAAACACAGGATGAGTAAATGAAAAAGAATTTATTAAAAAATCACAGTGTACCAGGCACTGTGTTAAGTGCTGGAGATACAAATATTTTTCATGATAAAAATTTTAATGCAACTTTTATATCTTAAAAAAGCTCAACAAAATTTCATAATCTTAGTTGTTAAATATTGAGAAATGTTCGGAAGACTAATGTTAAGTGAATATAGATTCTACTCCAAAAACTCCAATTAAAGTGAATATTTAGATCTTACCAAATTGAAACACATCTCCTCAAATGAAACAAAGTATATCATGCTAGCATACTTCCTCCGACACAAATACATTTCTAGAAAACTTCCTTTTCCAACATTGTTCTTTTGATTTGTATACATCCATTTAAATAGTCACAAAAATGTAGGTATATGTAATAGTCAGCTACGTTATTCTTGAATTAGTTATACTGAGATTTTCTTGCTCAAAATAATACAACATAGAAATACAAAATGTATAATAATCTTGTTTCAAAGACAGTTGGAGATACAATTTTATTTTAAAAAGAGCCAGTCCCTAAAATGTCCATTCCTTTTGACCCAGAGATTTCACTACTAGACTTTTACACCAAGGGGGCCATTTAATAAGAAGAAAAGTCCATTATGGCAGCATTTGCCAAAGAATTAGGAACAAAATAGATGCCCCTCATTTGGGGATTGGCTAAACAAATTATGGTATATGAATGTAATGGAATATTACTGGGCTTTAAGAAATGAACTTGAAGGATATGTACCTCATGGAAAGAGCTACATAAGCTGATGTAGAGTGAAGTGAGCAGAACCAAGAAAACAATATATGCAATGACTACAACAAAGTAATTGGAAAGAACAGTAACAGAAAGTAAAAGTGACAAAATTATAAAGAACATATATGAAAAATAAGAGATGTGAGAAGACACTCCACTCCTACCCTCATGCCCTTGCAGAGGTGGGAGCTACCCAAGTGTAGCACATTACACAAATTTTCAAATTTTTAAGTGTAATGATCAGTTATGTTGCCTCCCCCCTTTTGGTCTTTAAAAATATACTATTTGTTATACAAGGTGGCTCTTTGGAAGGTGATACTGGGGGAAACTATGGTGATTTAAAAAGAAAACCTAATGATGTCAATAAAGACTTTAAAAAAAGAGACAGTCGCTGCCCTCAATGGACTTATATTCTAATGAGGGGAAGACAATGTACAATAAAGGAGCATGGACCAAGAAGGGGTCTTTTGTTCTGAGGAGGTGAATAGTTGGATGTCTTGTGAAACTAAAGCATGGTCTGGAATCCAGGGACAACCAGTAGAGATGGTAGGATAAGTGGGCTACTTGGGCCCTAGAGCAGGATGAGTGGATAAACATTCTCAGGGATATGAGAGAAAACATGGTGTTGTGCTTGCTTTAGCAGCACATGTATTAAAATTGGGACCATACAGAGGAGATTAGCGTGGCTCCTGTGAAAAGATGACATGCAAATTTGTGAAGAGAAAACACAGAGTAATGGGAAGACCTGAAATTAGAAAACTCAAATACTGTAATGGCTCTGTGATATTACCAGTTTAAATATTTCCTCCAATAAAGCTAATCCTATTTCATCCGTGTCTTACTATCCTAGGAAATTCTAGTCATGTCTTCCCATAAGTTCACTGCAAGGACTCTACAACCAATGTTCTTTCTTCTGAAATCCAGAAGATAAATGAATGAAAAAATAATTTATTAAGCATTTACTACATATCAAGCATTGTGCTATGTTCTGGATATATATATATATATATATGTATATATATATATATATATAATATTTAAAAAGCGAGGTAAACGGAAGCTCATCTTCTAATTCAGAGAGACAACACATAAATTACTTTTATAACCAACAAACAATAACACATTAGGATTCTCTAAGTCTTGCATTTTCTACATCTTTTAGTCAGTTCTTTGACAGTACAGATATGGTCTACTGGGGAATGTTGTTTGTGAAAGACAATCTGTTCCCTATTTATCAAGGATGCCCTCAATACAAGTATAGATGATTTTCAGAATTCTATGTAGATGGGAAAGTAGTTGTATTGAGAATTGGGTTTTTTCTCAGTTGACTTTTTTATATTAATAAGGTCTGAGGCTTTTTCCCTCATGCCTTTGACAGCCTTACTTTCCTACATATACACTTTGAATCCCTTCTTCCTGACTCAGCCAATTATGTCACATGCTGTAACACACGTCCTAGTCTAGATTTTATTCTCTTTAGCACCATTTCTCTTTCCTCAATAAGAATATCTAGGACTGTGATGTTAAAATCCAAGCATGATGTCTCTACTATGCTTGATGGTAGAAAAAAAGTTTGCTATAAAAAAAAGTTTGCAGATCTTTTGCATTTTTCTTCTTTTTGCTGTCCTTCTGTTTTCATCTGGAAATGCCCTCAGGATGCCTACTTAGTTGAACCTTTTGCCAGACTTTGTGATATTGCTCTTTACTGCTTTTCTTTGTGTTATGAGGTATTATTAATGATCATTTTCTATCGTTTTCCTTCAAAATATTTTTACAAATGAGTTTACAAACAAGGTGGCATAGTGGAGAGAGTGAGGGGCCTGGAGTCAGAAAGACTCTTCTTCCTGAGTTCAAATCTTGCCTAAGACACTTGATAGCTGTATGACCGTGGGCATGTCACGTTTGCTACTTCCTCATCTGAAAAATGAGCTGGATAAAGAAATGACAAACTACTCCAGTATCTGTGCCAAGAAAACTTCAAATGGGGTCGCAAAGAGTCAGATACAACCGAAAAATGACTGAACCGCACAATTATATTCTACACTCATGTTGCTTTTGGCTGCCAACTCTCAGATTATCATGTGTTTGTTGATGAAGGTCTTTTTTATTCTCTTTTGGTCTTCTTATTGTGGTAATTGATATATTGTTAAACATCTTTAAGAATTATTATTATCATTTTTTTTGTTCAGCTGTTTTCAGTCGTGTCTGACTCTTCATGACCCTATCTGGGGTTTTCTTGGGAAAGGTACTGGAATGGATTGCCATTTCCTTCTCTAGCTCATTTGACAGATGAGGAAACTGAGGCAAACAGGGTTAAGTGTCCTGCCCAGGGTCACACAGCTAGAATTATTATAATCTACATCTATTTCCTTTCTTCCATCCTTTGCCCAATATTTATTAGCAATAACTTTTTGAATAGGTCAAGATTGAGTTGTTTCAATCGCAAGGCATAACATCTTTTTTGTATTCTTCCTTCTAGCTTTGCATTAAGTTTTGCATTTGCTTTAACAAACTAATGTGTTGACTCTATGCAAACAGCACGTTCCAGTTAAAAGAGTTGGCCTAGGAGTAGGACTTTATGGAAGGAGAGTCAAAACACCTGAGGTTAAATCCTGGCTATGCCCCTAATTGCCTTTGTGATATTAGGCACATCCCTTCCTCTCTCTAGGCCTCAGTTTTCTCATCCGTGAGATGAAGAGAGCTGCTTAGATGACCTTTAACATGTCTCCTAGCTCTAATGATCCCCTGAGACCAGAAAGCACTTGTTGACAGACAAATGCCACCAATGTCATGATACAGTCCCAGGTTTTCTGGCTAAGGAAATTTCCTTCACCCTATATATGGTCCTGCCTTAAGAAATCTGGCAATAGACGAGCCTGACATAGTAATTATGAGATCAGTCTCTGCCATTGTTCTTTCATAAGAACTGTTCTTCTGCAAGGCACTGAGTAGCCATCTATCACCCATTTCAATCAGAGCCTTTGGGATTTTACAGTTATCTTTGTTATTAATATGTTGTACTTGCCCAGGGCCTGTCAAAATGTTTTCCAACGTTATTTGCAGAGAACTTCTATCTTTTGGCAAAACCTACTTTGCAAAGGGGTACATTAAAATGTGTCACTACTTTGCAGACAATGCTGCTTTTCTCTTTGCTTTCTTCATTATTTTCCTTCTCACAGTTTTAAAGGCAGTTATCACCACATATACTTAGGGCCCTCTGACCAAGTCATTTATAAAAAAGATTTTATCCATCATCAAACTACTACTTAGGAACAGTTGAAAAAATAGTTTCTGATTGTCATATTTTCTGAAAGCTTATATCCATTATACTAAAAAAAAAATCTTGCAATTCAGAAACTCCTGCAAGAAGGAATGAACTTTGATTTTTATACCCGCTTTGTCTCAGATTTCTAAATCATATACTGTAAGGATACTGGAGGCTGTATCTCTGATTTCAGGCAAATTTCTTGTCAGGAAACTCCAAGAAAAGTTTGAGATCTGAACATTATCAGTCCACCTCCAAGTCCAAAAACAAGACCATTTTGTTCCTTTAAGTGCTCTGTTATCCTTGTTTGGGCAGTTGAAAGTTCTGCCAGCTGTATCAAAAATGGCCTTTTGTCATTAGCGAGATGAATGGTTATAAGTACAGGGCAATCACAGTGACAGGTGAGTGGAGAGGGAGGTCATTTCAGCATCAGGTCAAAATAGATCCAGCGGCCAGAGACCATTTGGAGCAAATTGCTTGGAAGCCGTCTTTTAAGATGGTAAGGGAGTGCCTGTTGATTGGCAGATATCATGAATGCCAAGGCACTGGTACAGTCCAGACTTTGTGGCAGAAGAAATTCCAGATGGCCCCCTAGTCCTGTTCTCTCTCTGTTGCCAAATAAAGAAGGTAAATTTTCTATAATCGCTGATTATCATTTACTATTTTGGTTGGCTCACCTGCAAGAGGTAAAGGCAATGATTCCAGTAAGAATGTTTCAGGGTATGTAAGTTGGATTCATCTGTTTATATGCAAACTTAGCAGAGCTTCATTTTGGCTTCTGTGGATTTCTGGTTTGTGATTGCTATGCCACTCGTGTAAGAGAGGGCAATGGGTCAGCAAAGAACCTTTCACACTAGAAATTGTAATCTCCCATGCAGCCTTGCTAACTGGCTCCTCCAGGCCAGTGACCTCAGGAAGGCAGGAAACCAATTAGACATGCCCGAGTGAGACTGTGCACCCTTCATAAAAACCTGGGCCTCTTTAGTACCTCTGAGATTCCCTAATGCTCCAAATGTTAATAAATCCAGGTGTCCCACCTATTAAGTAGGAATAGTTAGGGGAAGCTAGTTCATGCAATGAATAGAGTACCACTTAGTTTCAGGGCTGATGAGAGAAGAATAGGGTCCATCTTTCCCTCTAGATGCTGCTACCTGCACTCCATGAGTGGTCAATGCATTTGACCACCCTGGGGGAGCACAGTCACTTTTAATCCCAGTCTACTTCACCAACTATCTTCCCCTTTCTCTAATTCCTTCAGTCTTCCAGCCCTCTTCTGTATCTCACCCTGGTGTCGAAACTATGCAATTGTTCCACAGACCTCAAGATCTTTAGCTAGCCCTTGGCTCCCTCTTATTCGGTCCAGCTGAAGAATTGGACCCTTTCAGAGCTGGACTTATGAAAATATGTAGTGGGATTTCAGAGATGTCATGGTGGCAGAGGAGAAATGCAGACAGAGTCTTGAACTGGATGTCCAGTAGACATCTTCAACTTAACCTGTCCAAAACAACTTATTGTCTTTCCCCCTTAACCCTCCCGACTCCTACCTTCCCTATTACTGTAGAGGGTAACACTACCATCCCAGTCTCTTAGGCTTGGAACCTAGAAGTCAGCCTGGACTCCTCACTATCTCTCATCCCACATAGTGTATCTGTTGCCAAGGCCTGTTGATTTTCTTGCAATACCTCTCTCTCTTTTTTTTACGGTAATTTTTATTTATTTTTTTGTTTTCAACATTTACTTCCACAAGATTTTGAGTTCCAAATTTTTGCCCCATCTTGCCCCTCCCCCCACCCCAAGATGGTATGCATTCTAAATACCCCTTCCCCTAGTCTGCCTTCCCTTCTATCTCTCCCCCCTTCTCTTATCCTCTTCCCCTTCAATTTTCCTGTAGGGCAGGATGGATTTCTGTACCCCATTTCCTGTATTTCTTATTTCCCAGTTGCATGTGAAAACATTTTTTTTAAACGTGTTTTTAAACTTTGGGTTCCAAATTTTCTCCCTTCCTCCCTCCGTACCCACCCTCATTGATAAGGCAAGCAACTAAATATAGGTTATATATGTGCAGTTATGCAAAACACTTCCATAATAGACATGCTGTGAAAAACTAACTCTATTTCCCTTAATCCTATCCCGCCCACCTATTTATTCTATTCTTTCTTTTGACCCTGTCCCTCCTCAGAAGTATTTGCTTCTGATTACCCCCTTTCCCAATCTGCCCTCCTCTCTATCATTCCCCTACTCTCTTGTCCCCTTCCCCCCCTATTTTCCTGTAGGGTAAGAGAGATTTCCAGTGTGTATGTTATTCCCTCCTTAAGTCAAATCCTATGAGAATAAGATTCACTCATTCCCTCTCACCTTCCACTGTTTCCCCCCCACTGTAAGAGCCTTTTCTTTTCTGGTTTGTTTTTTTTTTTTGTGTGGCATAATTTACCCCATTCTACCTCTCCCTTTCTCCTTCTCCTCTATAAT